ATAAGAAATAAAAAATGTATGTATACAAGATATTGCATTTTTAATTACTTTTTTATTAGAAAAGAGTGTCAATCGCTTTTCTTAAACAACATGATATATGAATTACGTTGCCATAGAAACTGTCGGAATATAACGATACGGTCACAGAAAGAATTGTGATTTTTGGAATTATTAGTTATTAGTGAATTATTTTCCGTAACAAATGAGTACATCAAGTACCAATAAATATTTAGTGACTATAATTGTACAATATTTAATATTACTTTTTGATATTTTTGTTAATTCATTTACAAGTTTTTCTCGACAGAATCCAATTAATTTATTGATTCTCTATGTGTACGTGATGTTTTTACTTTACTATGCTACATACATAAATGTATATTCTTATTTTACTGAATTATTGTTTTTAAGGGTTCAAGATGTTTGTCTTATCATAACTATCACAATTCTTCTAGTTAATTTCTTTTCTACTTATATTTTTCAGGTAACTAGTTTAAAAATAATAACCAAAGTTTAATTAATTTTTAAATATTGTAAAAAATTTATCACTTCTGTACAGATAGGATTAATACAATTATTATACACAAAATTTCGTGTAACATTAATATTATGTATCACATACATGATATTAAGCATTAGTCTACATACATGGGACATTAAAGCACATAGGTCATCATCTCACAAATGTTATTGGACTAAAGATTTTCATATTCTTTACTCATTACATAAAGGAGGTAACATAGTTAGTTAAATTTGATGTATATAATATTTTTCAGTTTTCTCATATAAAGTTATATTGAAGTTGCAGTTTTATACTACTACTTTTATAAGAGAGCATCTCTTAGAATCGCAGATCCAAGATTCTATGAAAGCTCAACATGGATTCAAAGTCAATTCAGCCTCTCCTAGTCAATATTTAAAATTAAAAATTACAACAAACAAAGGAATGCAGCAATTTTAATCATAACAAGCAGAAGAAATAAAATAACGAAGAAATATCCTTCTTAAAATTTGTGTAAATACTTTTACTTTGTTTATGACAAGGATACAGTTATAGTTAAAGTAAAATACTTTAAATAGTTTAACTGTATAATTTTTTTACTCTAAGGTTTTTAAAAATAATGTTCAAATATATGTTACAGATGTAATGTGCAATAGCAATAAATTTTTTGAAGTATTTTAAGAATATTTCACTTTATATACAATATAAAAAGTATTGTTGTAAGATAGTTTTTTACAATTGTGTTAACATTTTACAAAAATAAAATGTAAAATTTTGTACAATTTTTACAAATATGGATGTCGATCTTTAAATTAATATGAAGCATATTAACAGTGATTGGCTTAGTTTATTATTTTGTTCAAATCTACCTAGAGACTTCAGTTTAAACTTACATTGTGTAAAAACTATCAATGTTTTGATAGACTGTTTCACAGATCAGAAAATAATACCTTAAAATAAGTCAGTGGAATTTAAAGTTATCTTCATACAGTATGATTACCATGAAGAAAAAGTAATTTGTCTATCAAGTGAGGAGGTAAAGCCGCTCGCCTTGTGTCATACAAAACTTGCACTTCTGCTGGAATTCTAGAGGGTGGTGCACAACATGCAGGTACACAATTGTATTTACAAGCTAATTTTCCCAAATTTGGGCACTTTGCAGAAATTTTAGCCCACCATTGAAGAGGACAATAATCAAGTGGTGCAGTGGATTCAGAATGATATTGTACAAGTTCAAGGTCAGCTTTTTCTTCTGCAGGCATTCCACTTTTCATTGAACATAAACCTCCAAGTAAAAGTTCCATACCTGTATGTAATTAAAATATATCCATTCAGTTTTCAAATTTAAAACATTGAAATTTGTAATATTTACCTGATAAACGACTTTTTTTATTTGGAGGATCATCCTCAACTTTGATATTTATAGTATCACAAGATTCTTCTTGTATTAATTTTGTTAACATGTCCTTTATGTCAGTTGCAACTGAGTTTTTATCTTCTTCAGTAGCATATGGCAACTGTTTAAATCTAATTTATAACATAATATTAATTGTATTTGTATTCATTTAAAAAAGAAGTTATCCTAATAATAATCTATAATTACCTTGGATCTAAAGTTGTTGCAATTTGAAGTAAAAGAGTAACATTATAATCTGCATACCTATCACAAAGCATATCAGATAAAGATTCTTTGAAAGACTTTGCTTTATCACTATCAGTTTCTTTTATTTTGAGATGAGAAGATACAAGTTGCCAAAGTAATGGTTTTAGTAAAGATATTAATGGCATTTTTTCCTCACTAAGAGTCATAATAGTAACTTTAAATGGTTCAAGGACATTCACAAGATCCTCTACAATCTTCCATTGATCATTTGTTAAATCAACTACTTCTTGATCAACACCTTCCATGCTTTCTAAAATTGATGTGACAATATTACGACGTAAAACTATCTGTTCTAGCATGTTGTATGTTGATGTCCATACAGGTGGATAGTCCATTAACATGGTGTTTTCTTCCAGCTATAATAATATCAAATACACTTTAAAACTATGTGTTAGCACAATTTTTTAATGAATGACTTACAATAAATTTTTTTACTTACTTCCAACAATTGTTCTTGCATAGCTAATGCTGCAGATGCAGCTGGATGACTTATAATAGCTCCAATAGCAGCTCTGCATTTTGATAATATGATAGCAACTTCTGAACTTTCAAAACAAGCTTGAGCACACACTTGCAAGGTATAAAGTAAACAAGGAACTAATGTTAATCCTCGAGTTGTTAAAGCAGCCAATAATTCTGTCCTAGATGTGGCTATTACAACTGCAGTTATCCTTTCTATTTTTAGGTCCCAATCAAGTAACAAAGAATCGATGGTATTACCCCACTGAGGTTCCTCCCAATCCAAAGGAGCATGAATTGTACTTAACACTTTACATTCTAACACTGGTTCACCAGAGTTTTGATAATATACAGAAATAGTAATAAATCTTTCATCAGAATTTGATCTCCACTCTTCAATGGTCAAACCTACTTCACTTGTAATACAAGATAGAGATGTAGCCACTGATTCACGAAAGGTATCATAAATCTTTGGTATTATTTCTTCTTCTAATTTATTTTTACTAGGAATTTCACAAGGTGAACGTAAAGTTGCAACTAGTCTTTGAAAGCCTCGTCCTTCTACCACCTCTGGTAGTTGTAAGTCCATTATAATAAATTCAGCTATAGCATCAGATACAGTCTTTCCATCAATACTTGATTGGTTCATAGAATTATCCTCTGGCATAAGAAAGGCCACATTTTGGCTATTGCTTCCAATATTAGAACCACTTTTAATCATAACTCTCAATGGTTGACCAATTGTGATATCATCTTCGATGTTAGATAAACTTATATTTGGATCAGTCACAAATTGAATGTCTCCATCTATTTGAACAGTACCGTCAGCATTAGTAGTATAAATATGCTGTGCAGAAGTTAAACCTGCTTTTAATAACTTTTTTTGTGCTCTTCTTTCTTTTGTTTCTTGTGAAAGTACCTGCCTTCGTGGAAGATTAGTTGCTTCTAGTTCTAACAGTTCTTGAGCATGTTTATTTTGCAAATGCATACGCAAATTGCTAGTATTACGATTATATGCAATTTGAGTTTTGCATAATATGCAAACAATTTTCACTTTTGTAAGAATATCACCATCATCTGTAGCTGGGAATCCAAAGAATTTCCAATAAATACTTCTCATTGACATAGGTACTACTAATTTCTTGTAAGTATAAGTATGCTTTTCTTCCATCATTTTAGCGAGTACCAGTTGCATTTCACTTTTGGAATCGTCCGTTGCAGAAGATTTTCCGCTGTTAGGCAATGTTACTGATTTACTTTCCATAATTGTAAATCAAAGTATAAAGGTACCGGCACGTCTTATCTTCGAAGTATTAAAATATACATACTTAATATTTCTCGTAGTTATAATACTTCATAGGGTTTGTTTCTCATCAAAATGGAGGATTTTCGTTGCATAATTTAAAATGCAACTGTTTTCAGAGATGCATAATCCTTTTTACGCATTCTCTTCTCTCTATAGTTACGAGGCGATAACAAATTTACCGCGAAGATTCCGATATTTCAAAGCGGCGTTTCACGAATTATTTTACAGATATCGAACTTCAATTTCTCGTTTCGAAAAGAACGATGCACGATCGGTTATCGACCACCTCTCGTAACGATGCTATCGACTTTAGTTCACTTGTTCAAAGAAATATCGCTACGTAGAGCACTCAACTAATCGATTTCACAAAATGGTACAGGTCTAAGAAAGCGCCATCTGTATCGATTACTCGATACTATTCTGTATTTTGTTCTTTGAATATCACGTATAAAATGCATTTATCAAAACAAAATACATAATATTTTTCGTTATTATTCAAATATAAAATTAAATATTGAAATGTATATGCATTTCTTTTGCTAATAGTAATACATTAAATTTTTGCCTAATTGAACAGAAGATTAATAATTTACCCTTCTTGCATTGTATTAAATATTTGCAAATTATTTTATTACAAGTTCAATTTTTTACAATTATCAAGGAAGTATTAATTAAAATGAACGAATCATTGTGAAAAAACAAATGAACGTAAAATAGTGACTTATGATAAAATGAAAAGTTCTTTACAAAAAGTTAACCTAAAATTTCGTTCATGTCTCTGTTCTTTGTTTCGTATAGATCGTTTAATATAAATATATGTATATATTTTCGATAGGTTTTAAAAGTATACTAATTTCTAGTGAATTATTTTGAAATATAACAAATGTATTTGTCTAAAAAGAAGAAAGTATTTATTGGCTTGCTACTATGGAGGTTAATTTCCGTATTCGTAGTACAAACTACTCATGTACCAGATGAATACTGGCAATCATTGGAAGTTGCACATCGTTTAGCATTTGGATATGGATATCTTACATGGGAGTGGATAGAGAAAATTCGCAATTATATGTATCCATTTTTGATATCTGTTATCTATCAACTATTGGCATTTGTAACATTAGATCATGTAATAATCTTAACAACATTACCTCGAATTCTTCAAGCAATTATCAGTGCTTATGGAGAATACAAATTTTATGAGTGGACTAAAAACAAGTGGACATTGTATAGTTTATGCATAAATTGGTATTGGTATTATTGTGCTACACGTACATTAATTAATACTGTAGAAACAACATGTACTATGACAGCTTTGTCAATATTTCCATGGCATGATAGCAATGTTGCAAGTACAAAGTATCTATGGATTATTGGGTTTCTATGTATGATAAGACCTACTGCTACTATTGTATGGTTACCTTTATGTCTTTATCACTTATGTACAAGTTCACAAAATAAGCTGACATTAATATGTCAGTACAGTATCATATGTATTATTTGTTGCTTAAGCTCAATATTACTAGACAGTTATTGCTATGGTATGTTAGTTATTTCCCCTTGGGAGTTTTTTCGTGTAAATGTACTTTACAAAATTGGAGATTTGTATGGAACACAACATTTATTATGGTATATTTTCTGTGGATTACCAGTGCTTCTAGGATGTTATTATATTGTGTTTGTATTATGTATTTGGCAAATAATGAAACATCCAAGTCGTTTATACCATCAGGCAATTCTGTTAATTGTCATAGTTTGGACAGTTTGTGTTTATTCCTTGTTATCTCATAAGGAATTTCGATTTTTATTACCTCTTTTACCAATGTGTATATACATATGTACCTCTTGTACATTTCCCTTAAATGTTAAGTTTACAAAAAGGGCAAGGAAAATTTTTATAGGATTGTTAATGATAACTAATGTGTTACCTGGCCTTTATTTTAGCGTAATACATCAACGCGGATCGCTAGACGTAATGAATATTCTACATAACGAAATTGTTAATGCTGATAATACAACTAACATATTATTTTTGACTCCTTGTCATGCAACTCCTCTGTACAGTCATTTACATGTAAACGTACCTATCAAAATACTAACTTGTGAACCTAATTTCGAAGGCGATATAAATTATGTAGACGAAGCAGACATGTTCTTTGCAAATCCAACGCAATGGCTTGATCATAATTATAATAATAACAATAGTATCGTACTTCCTGATTACATAATACTATTTGATAATATTGTACCGAAAATAGGTGAATTTTTAAAACATTACCAAATTGTTTCACAAATTTTTTATGCGCATTTTCCGCAGTCAAATTATGGGAAATATATTTACGTATATAAACATGTATAGAAACATTGTGAATGTTAATAAATAAACATGTACATTCGTTCTTTTATTCTCATATGTTAAATTTCACTTTCGCTATTGTTACCATTCAGAATGTCGATAATCAATTTACATTCTTATCGACGTACCTTTTATTTTCATCGATTTGCAAAAAACTAATTTTTCAGACCTCCGCTTGAAAGGGATTCGCCATAACAATGAGAATAATGAAGTCACATGGCGGGATTAGCCGAATTCCCATCGTATGGTTTGTGGGGCTGGACGAAGGAGGTGGTGACCGACAATGATGGTGGAGGAAAAAAAACAGTTGGAGAGGGAACGGCCAGACAAGTTTTTGCGGAACCATCATCGACACGAAAAGCTTTTGATAATGACAATTAAACGATGATCATTTTCGATGGTCGAAAAACAGAATTGACTGCAAAGCGAATATGTACCGTTACCAAAAAGGTCTTGAATCTTACAGACGATCATTCTAACGGTACTTGTCCAACACTAATCACACCTATCAAATCGCGATTGTTAATGACATAACGTTGTTTAACGTTAAATTTAATTGTTAAATTCAACAGTAGATTTTACACTGAACGTGTTGCAGTCTTAAATTATTAAATCGGCTTGACAATTTTCATTTGGCTGCGAACATAACAGCAGGAAAGAAGGAAAGAATGTCTTCGTTATTACAACAAAACGAAAATTATAATATCAACCATCTCCGAAATATTTTAGCGTGCTGCAGCACGGTAGCACATATTGAGGAGCTGCCTATATACCTATAATATACATGTGTATATGTCTCGTAAGAATGAAGTTACAGAATCACAAATGAATATCTTATAAAGAGCAAATGAGAACATCCGACTGTCTTGTAACTAAGTAACCGCTACCGTGTCGTCTATGTATTTCAATGCCTTCCAATCGAGATTCAAAGCGACATAAAACAGAAAAAAATTGATTTAACTAGGAATAGAAAAGAACGGGAAAGCAAGAAGGGAATTGTCCATAGGACGTCAAGTCCAAGAATATAGTGGTTGCAACCGCGGATAAAGAAAGGCGGACGTGGTAAAGTAACGCAAAGTAAAGTAAGGTAAGGTAATTCGTGGCTATAATCGAAGGTACAGCAAGATGGTGCAAGTGGGATGGAAGAAAATATAAAGAGGGGACTGACTACATGGAGTCAACGTTCCGAGCGGGTCAGCGACCAGCTTGTCTTTTTCTCTCTCGCCTTCCTTTCGTGTCCTTCCTCTATCGTGATGGTACTCTCTTCCTTCACGGCTGTCTTTTCTTTCTTTCTTCTATTTTTTTCTTTTCCTTTTTTTGCATTAGAAATCTTTTTTCTCGCGTTTAGTCTCTTTTCAATCGAACGAACGAAAAAAAGCTGTGCTCTAAATTAAACACCGTAGGAGTCGATCATCTCTGTTTGGACGAGTCTCTTTATTTTGCTTCGAGGTGACGTCGCAATTCGAGTAAGGTAGGAAGGAAGGATATTGACGACGGAAGGACCGTCGTCGTGATTTGTGACGGTTCGAAAGTTACATTTGGCTGTATATCTGCGTGTATACGAAAGGCACGAATATAATCCACGTCGGAGAGAAAGTTCTGCGCAACGGTGAATCCGTTCCCCATCCTTCTATCGTGAAAGAGCATCCAAAATGGATTGTTCATCGTTGAAGTACGACCAGCCTAGCTACTTATTTATACCGTTCGAAATATTTCCAGGTGGTAGAAGAAAAATCGATCGTTCCTTTTTTTCCGACCTGAACGATGGAGATTCCGAGTTGTCTGTTGAACGTGCATGTGCGCACATCCCTTAAATGCATAATATTCTAACTTAGATTCTGTTTCACCTATTCTGCATTGGCGTTACGTCGATAAAATCGTGAACGTGGCTACGAAGTTATTCCACAAGCGAGATTATAAAATGCATCGGAGTGATAGATTAATTTCACGCTTCTCAACGTCAGTAGGTTAAGTTATACAGTGACATCGTCGATAATGTACATATAATTACATCGATTGGTAAGAAAAATTTGTCCTTTTTCCTACGGTTATTGCGTATTGGATAAACTTTGAATCGCAGAACCATAATCCTCTTCGCGACGATTTCAAGCTTCAAGTATTACAGGATTGACTTTGGGATCCCCCGAGTCGCAGGTGTTTGACAGGTGTTTCTAACTCGAGGAAGTTCTCCCTTTTGTATCGTCCTCTTCCGCCTTCGCTTCTTTCACGAAAGGCGGAAAAGAAAAAAACATTAGACGATTAAAGAATGCTATATCTTTTTCTATTTCGTACATTTTCATTAGGAATTTTATAATTTACCAGAAAATCAGAAAAAAAAAGAAGGAAAAAATAGGCTATTATAAACGAAGGTATTTCGAGAAAAAGTTATTACTTTTATTTCATCTTATTAACCGTGAGATTTATCTACACTTCCTTTTGTGAATAATGAGTTGAACCTTGTATAAATGTCTACCCTCGGTTCTAATTATCCTCGCGCAAAAAAGATGCCCCAATCGGAATAAATCGTTCTTACGTATGCAGGTATGTACACAGGGCACTTAGGATTAGCGTCTATTTTATAGCGGCGTGGCGTTCACGCTGGTATAGGATCTCGATATGACACGAAAGGTTCAGAGTCCGATATCGTAAACCGGCTTTTCTTCCTTCGTCGACGTAGACTTTGCTCCTCAAGCGTATAGACTTTGGTCTCGCGCGTTTCTCGACGCCGTTTGTGGCCCTCGTACACCTGTCGCGAGGACATTTCGTCCTTATACTACTTCTTCGTTTCCACAATTCACGTTTCCAACGTTAATTAGATTTTCCTTCGATTTTACGGGTTTATCGTATCATTAAGTGTACGTTTCTATTTCAACTTTACCGGTAATAAAGATTAATCGAAACTCGATGCAACTGAATCGTAAATCAACGTTGAAGTAATATAGTCGTGGTTTCCGGATGAACGTTTTACAATATAAGGATCGACGGACCTATAAAAACGGTAAACATGTATTTCGTAATCGCGACGTGGTCGAATCGATCGTAAGGAAGGACGAATAATACATTATATATGTGTATATATATAGATACATGTGAATCTATAAATATATGCATATAAATATACGAAATCTGTATCCTTACAATGTCCATTTTCGATCTTGGTCCATCATAGACCAGTGAACGATGCACTTGTCCTCCTCTGGCCGTCGTTACGCGCTGTCGAGCTCAACCAATCACAGTTGGCAGGCAACAGGTGACCGACCAATCCGGTCTCCCTGTCACTACATCGTCGCTCTTACGTAGCGCTAAGCATTTCGCTTCACGGATATTCCTACCAAATCCAACGACGATTGCTTTCCCGTTTTCTGCTTCTCTGTCTATACATAGCTCTTCTCATTCTCCTGTTTCCCCGCCCCGCGGTGATCGTGCCAACCTGTTGCTCGCTAAGCTTTCCTTCGCTCTCCTTCCTAAGTCGATTTAACGTAAACTGTATATAATATTCAACATACACGTATATACCTACTTACACGAAGCAAAGATTTGCAACCTCGAATTTTAATCGTACGGCAAGTTTCATTAAACAAGTGAAACCGTATTATCCGATCTATCGGAGTACATATTATTATATATGTTTTGTTATTCTTAAATACTTGTATTCGATGGATAAGCAAAATTTTGTTTGGATATGGTAATTTTGCTATATTTCCAACGAACGGCAAATCTAACCTAATCAGGATATCGATCCAAGCATCTTTCGCTATTTATATATACACGATATACCGTAGTGACATTTTCAGAAATGCACAAAAACAATTCCAAAAATAACGCAGAAAAGAATAAACGAAAAAAAAGAAGAAGAAGAAAAAAAAGGAGGAACTTCAACTGTGAAGTAAGACGTGTTCGTGTACGCGTGTTATCAAGGCCGTGATCACATTATGGAGGGAGCATTGAATCGAGGGCACAGGCGACGGTATACGTACCTGCGATCTGTTAGAGCCTCCTTATAGTCGGAAGAAGAGCGCAAGGTAGCCGCCATTTTTGTTCCTCCCGATTACCGAATCGTGGCTGTCCTCGACTGGCGGACTACAACACGTATTACACCTGATGTTTTCCTACTCTGTCGAAGGCAAAACGAACGACGTACGCATCGGTGGGCCGCAACAGCTTCACCTCCTCCCTTGAAAATTCATTCATACGCGGGAGGGACTATCCGTTGGCCGGCGCCGCGCGCCAGTTCGATCTATCGAACTCGTTCGTTCGTTCGTCCGCCATGAAGGAGTAAACGTGGCGCTCCAGGTGGAAAATAATCGCGGTCGGGTAGAGCGGGGTGAGCGTACCGCAAGACGAGTGGAATGTCTGCGCACCTGGCCAGTGCGTCGCTGCTTTGACCTGCCTTTCCCTTCGCCTCTTTAACCTGGGCTGACTGCGTGTTGTTGCGTTCTGTGCTGCTCGTGGGCAAAGTTATAAACCGGGCCAACGGGGACAGGCAATATTTCCAAACAAACACGAAATAATCTTCTAACAATAGAGGGATAAATTGGTTTTCAGTATATACGGGCTGGTTTAGAAGTTTCTCGAATTTAAACGCGTTCCTCCGTGCCGTTATCGTGCAGTTTCCGCGTTTTTTAACGCCACCTATATCTGTCCTCGTCAGGACGATAGAGCGAGCCACGTTTACCGTCCTTGTCGCGCCAGTATACCGTGCGCGCGGCACGGGAACGAGCCAAGAGGGTCTAGCCAACGAGCGACGGGTTCGATGCGCAGTCGCCAGGTGAGGCAACGACGACGTGTGCGCGCAACGGTCGGGGTTGGCCAGTGTTGCACGATACCTTGCCACTCGCGACGGCGGTCCGTCGATAGAAAACCGCGCAAACACGATATCCTCCCGCGGCTGTGTCGGCCCGTTCGCGAAAAAAATCATCGTTCCAGGTTGTGTGTTATCGTCGTCAATAAAAGACCTGGGGCGAACGTGTGCTGTGCGCGAAAGAGAGAGAGAGAGAGAGATCGTGTTGTTTTATAGACCCGTTGATATTGGCGATTTTGGATTAACGGTCGGTCGATCCTTAACCTCAAATGGGAAGCGCGCAATAAATAAAACAACATGTCGCTGAAGGATATGACCGATAGTCTGTGAACGTGTCTCGGTGAAGATAAACGTGTGAAGAGATTCCTCTTCCAGGTGGCTGTTTTGTAAACGTCCAGGACACGGCTTGCGCGTCGTGGTCCGTGTCCACTTTGGGTGGAAAAGTGTGCCACTTTTGAGTATACGGAGAGTTGAGGTGTACATTGACCCAGAAGTAGTGTGAGTAGTGTGCTCTGAGGAAACGGGGACGTGGAAGAAGGGACGTGAGGAGGTAGAAACCCTGGCACGATGCAGACTACGGGAGCTGCGAGGGGACCTACTCACCTGGTTGCCCTTTACGTGGCGACCGCCGGTCTCCAGGGTAATGCTCTCGGTTCCGACGAAGAGGAGATCACGCTTCTCGTTTACGTGCTCATCGATGTGCTACAGAACAAGGTAAAGCTCGGAGAGAATAAGAATAAATGCCGCTCTCGAGTTAGAGAATTGCTCGATGGAAAATTAATGTTAAGTGATTCACGGATTCGTGTCACTCCCGTTTCCTGTGTACGGTTTCCATGCACGATACAGTTCTATGAAATTTATTCAACGTTTTACCGTTCAATAATATCCATTCACATATGCTGTGATTTTTTCTTTCTTTCTCTTTTTCTTTCACGAATATTCTTCGACTTCCATCGAGTTTGTTAATCATCGTACGGTGGTATTCTCCTTTTCTTTTTTACATCGATCGGATTTGTTAACGTTTTATTAATCGTATCAAGAGTGCCACGACGCTGAAAATCACCGATACATCATTCAACTTTCACGAAAGTTTCCTGAACCACTGTCAAACTTCCTTACGTGTTTCACTGCCACCGCTACAATGCTTGTGCACGTCTGCGGCTGCCATTGTTTCTCGAATTATCCGGTGGGGGCGGAGCGTCGCGCCCTCGAAAGGTCGTCCATCACCTCCAGCTTTGCCATCGAGATTATCTGGCGCTATGGACTCCGTTTCTCATTAGTTCTCCCATATTACGATGCCGGGAAACTACGCTTCCTGTTCAAACGCGCTTCTTTAACGTTAATTACTCGAATTTTATACATTTCAACGTTATATAAAACGTGAATTTTAGTTAGACTGCGATTTAACGTTACAAAATACAATTCCAAGGAAAATGTGAAACGTAGATTGTAAACATTGTTGAAAAATTCATTCTAGTAAATTTTTAAGGTTAACTTCGCTTCGATAAAAATCAAAATTCAACAGAATACTAACATTCAACCTTTCTTTCTTATTATCATGTTTAAACAACTATAATCGACAAATTCTGTACATAATAGAAACTTTTATTGAATCTTATCCTTCCCAAAGAAAAAAGCTGTCCGAAAAAGTTTCTAAATGTCGTTCGACAGGAAAATCCCTGTAATTTTCCGCTTCGTGAATCTTCTCGCTTATTTATGCACATTTCGCCTCCGTTCATTCGACCGATCTGTATTATACTTCACCTATTCGAAGTTATCGATTGGGTTCGTTTCGATTCCGAGCAAACTCGAATTTTCCCGTGGCGAATTCGAGAAATCGTGTAGCATCCGGCGCGGCAACAGGTGCGCCTAGTTTTCTTTATTCTTTGTTGTGAATCGCCTTGCACGAGTGCGCCCGAGTTCCAGCTGGACGGTCGTTTCCTTTTTCCCCTCGAGTCACATACCTGACTATCTCCGATCGAGCTCGATCGAGGACAATGGCCGCCGGTGAGCTCCTCTCGCTTTGCAAGGGCCTCAAGGAAATCCGACAGCCATACTACACATTCTGTCTCTTTGCTTGTAGGTACACGTGTAACTATTGTTACTATCATGTTCATGCACTTATAATATTATTCATCGGCAGATCGAACGATTCGAGTCGTTCCGTTTTCAACATCGACCTGCACCTACGTGTATCACAGGCAACGATGAGCGAGCAGTATTCGTGTTAATTGACGTAAATATTAAGTCGAACGTTAATAGTCGTTATTACCGTTCTACTATCAGCTCGGTTTCACGAGAAATGTTATCTAAATGCGACACCGTATGTAACAGGTTCAACGAATTCTTAAGCGGGATCTACTGTTTTACATATTTTCAGGAGGAATCTGTTGTTTGATATATTGCCGAAGTGGTTTCTAGAAAAATTGGTAATTAACTCCGTCAGGGAAATTGATAATGTGAAATTGAACGATGGTAGATTGTATCTAACGGAGTTTCTCAGAGCAGCATATGAGAATGAAATTTTTTACGAGAAAGATGTCTACGGGATAAAGTAGTAGACATATCTCGTCGGTTGGCGATTTCTTAATGCAGAGAATTTTATTTGGGCAATTTCTGGGAATCGTACGTTTACCTTGTTCGAGGAAACTTAATAACAAGTTCTATCAAAAATTTCTCACATCTTTAAGAAGACGAAATATTTCAAGTTTAAACGGACTGGTTTTTTTTGGTGAAAGTGTATCGAAAGATTCGCGTAGGATAGGGAAAGCCCCCTCGAAACGAAAGTTTCCAATCACCGCATTCTGGGTGGATCGTGGAAATTTTTCTTCTCGTTTCCACCGAGATCGCAACGGTGTTAGATATAATACGGTGTCTGTGAAGCATTGGAAAACGTTCATAGACACAAATCAGATACCTCGATAAATACATATTACATACGCCTGTCTACCTGTATCGATTTCTTTCTCGTCGCGTTACAAAACTTCCAGTTTCCTCTACGTGTTTTCGCACGAACGTTACGAATACATGTAGTATATACGTACATCTATACAGGCCAGAGTCTTCTTCCTCCCGATGAGTTTCACGAAAGATTCGCGAATACGTTCTTCAGCCGTGTGAAAAGAGAGGACGTTGACTTACGCGTTGGAAAGCAAGATTGCGCTCGGCGTAGCCAGGACGCGAAACAGCCAGCGTGTGGTTTTACTTCGGCAAACAAAAACGTCGGAGCCGTGTGTAATGCCTGTAATTTCGAGCGTCGCGTTGAACCGCTTAAAAACCGACTCCCCAGGTGAAATACTTGTAAATCCTCTTCTCGGCCGCGATAGTTTTGCGGCCCCGCTAAATTGCCTTTGATATAAAACCGACTTTCGGTGATGAAACGTTGCCGCTTCTCTCTCTTTCTCTCTCTCTCAAATTAAAATCGATTTAAGCGACTTCTGCTCGATTATCTATTTAGTACAGAATATTCCACGAATTCGTCGACAATTTTTTTCACAATTTAATTATTTCATGTATCATACTTTAATTTCTAGATAAAAAATAAGTCACGTAGAAGAAAATAACAAAATTGAATTCTTCCAATGGAACTACATATATAATACCTATACGTTGAATTTGATCGGTTCGTGATTCGTTTAGAGAATGCTTGCACAACTCGGCCCATTGTGATTCGTTTCCGGCGTTTAAAGTCGATCGTTCAAGTCGAACTCTAATGAGCGACGTCAATCTATAGGCTTGACCCTTTGCCGTGTATTTCCGTGTGCCGGTTATCGAATGCATTTGTTTAAATTGTACATGAGAATAGCTCTACCTGTGGTATATATACCTACTACTCAAACGTAAAAAAAAAGAACGAAAAGTTCCACGAGCAAAATTCGAAACGAGATTTCAATTGCGTTTGCTCATCTTTACGAACGTTCAGAATGTTTGCTCGGCTCTGCAAACACTCGCTACGACTATCCAATTACGCGATTCTTTTTTTTCTTCTTTTTCTTAACCATTTTCTTCGGTTTCCTGGGTCTGGGATATTACGCGTGCAGCCTATTATTCGCGTCCGACCGCCCCATTCCGGTCCACCATTTCGAACCTTTTCTCTTCCCTCCTGCTGCTGCTGCTGCTGCTCCTCCTCGCTTCCCTCTTTTTCGCCGTTCTCCCGTTGCAGTCTCACAAATACCGCTAACACTTAATGTATTCTGTGGGAAAAGATTTCAGGAGGCAGACGTTGAAATCTCCCTCTCTCGGCTGTCGTTATTTCGAATTGAAATAACTATCTCGCTTAACCCTTCACGTGTGCAAATTGCTCGAAACAATTTCATCGTGTTGTTCTTCTTTTTTTTTTAATAACGATACACAAAGCTACGAGAGGTAATTGTTTCTTACAGATACAAGCAAGTAGGTTCTTTTTTTAATATTGATTCAGCAACGCGATATCTTATTGGGTCACCGCTTAACCATTTTGCGCTCGTCGATAGAAACTGACGCTTACATATGTATGCTTAGGTTTAAATTGAAATTGCTTTTAATTTTCATTCTCTTTCTTGTCGTTTCGATGGACTTTTTAAGTATCTCTCAATATTGGAGTAATAAAGGAACGACGATGTATTCGTTTGAAAAAAGAAACGCAGGATTTTATGAAGCTTTCGTTGGCAGTTTCCTCGAAGCGTTTGTTTTCGAGGAATTTTTGCAACGAATTTTCCTGGCCGGTTTCGTTTGTCGTTGTCCTCGACGAGGACAAGACAGTTCCTATACGCGACGCAACTCACGACCTTTGACCCTCGCGTATCCCTCCTCCCGGCAAATATCATTCCTGTGGTCATTGGTTGTCTTGTATTTGCGCTGCGACTCGTCAGATTTGCAATTTATGAATTCGCTTCGAATCGCGTTTTACGTTCGCGTTGCCCTTGCGGCAACGCGTAAGACAGACGTTCAGGATTGTCACACCTTAATGCACGATTTTCCTATCTTCTTTATTCTTCCTTCTTCCTGTAAAAAAAAACCGCCATTTCCTTCTCAAACAACAGACTTTCTTCGTTGTTTATCATACGCTTGAATTACGACGAATTCATAGCGTCTATTTTGCTCATTCGATAAAAAAGAAATTTCACCAGATGAATATTGCAAATCAGTTTTTACAACTTTCATCTTCGCCCATGAAAATCTCGACACTTCACTTTTCCACGTTTCGTGCCGTTTACAATTACACACCTGCTCCGAGATTGTTAATATCTCATAAATTAGCGTTTTATCGTCATCGTTAATACCTCGTAAAACTTTCGAGTATTCCTTGAAGGGATACCGTTTCGACGAGTTCTATGAACCGACAAAGGCTCGTTGAAACGTGAGGGTAGCTTTCGAAACCATTCATTACCCCCGAATTTGCTTCTACCTAGAGACCTACTCCAATTTCTCAGGTACCCGGCGAATCCTCGCAGTAGTAATCTCGACCTTAGAGAAATCGACGGGACAGTATGCTATCTCGACCTCGTAAAATATACAAGAACGAACAAGAATCTCTTCACACCTTGTTGGAGGTTACTATCGTCCTTGACGGACTCCGACAGGGCAGTGCCTTGATCAGACCTGGTTGTATTCCTCCTTTGAGGACAGTTTCTAATCTTAGAAACCTTATCGGTGCTTCCTTAATCTTCGTTCAAAGATGTTGAATCTCGTTATCGAATCTCGTACACACAATCGCCTAATCGGGAGATCTGTGCACTTGGACGAGCAATAGTGGAATTTCTGAATAGGAATAGGAAAAGGTGATTTGCATACGCGCGTCACTAGTAAAGCGTGAATATTCATGTATGTAAGTAAGTTGCTTGCGTATATTTGAAAATTCATGAAATTTTGTCCGCACCGTTCTGAAGTGGTGTAATATTCAGGTGAGACAGGTAGCCACAATTTTCTACCTGGTGTTGGGAAATGGTGTTTGAATAGGTATTATTTTCCTCACGAACGGTTAAACCGTAGAATACACAGAAATATGAAAAAAGATTCTTTCGAACGACAGTAGAGATTAATACGTTGGTCGTGTTGAATATTTAACGGATGGATCTTCTCTAACTCGGGAAAGAAAAACTCTTATCTCTATTGAACGAGAGATACCTTTAATCCTCGATGCGACACGATTGAAGCGAATAATTAGCAGCTAATGATTAACGTTTACGTAATTGTAATATTGGATCGTTTATGTCGCGAGTTATGCCACGGAGTCTTATCGCTCTGTCGACGAAGATAAGCTGGTGGCATGCTTGGCACCGAACTACCTTGATCTGTTAACCCCGCATCAAAGAACCTGCTTATTAAGTTTCTTGCACGTCTCTGTACCGTGTGACATCCACGAATATGTATTTACGTAGCGTTAGACACCGATAAACTCGCCTCGACGAGCTTGAACTCGCGATACATTTTAATATTGTACGCACACGGTGTCCTCGAGGCGAAAGAACGCCTAGGCCTCCCCGAGGTCTTAGCGAAAAAGTGTAATTTCCTTTTGTGTAAAAAACTGAAAGGAAAAAACACGGCTATAAATTTCACGTATCATAACGTTTTGACGTGGAGAGAAATTGCGTGAAAGTATAACGTTTGAAAGTATGACGTTTTGTATAATTTTCATTATTGTTATCGTTCTTAGTAAATCGTTTTCAACGATAGCATCTTGAGAAAGCATTTCTTTACATTTCCTATATTTTTCCTGAAATTCTGTTCTTCATAGCTGTACGCTGTAAAAAAGTTTGAGAGAGTAGCGTTGTTTCGCGGGGAGACACCTTGTACAAACGACTGTCTTGCGAAAAGTGTACTTGACTCGAAACGTTTCGATGTCTTTGTGATCTCAAGTTGAGAAATCCGTTTCAACGAAGAAGTTTTCATTTCTAGCCGCGGTTACTTTCTATCCGCATTCGAAACCCGGTAAAAGTTCGAGACGCAACGACTGCCAGGAGTAGATCGTTGAAATTGATTGTTTGCGATGCGTTATTATTTCGTTTCGTTTTTCCTCGTTCCGAGTCTTTCCGTCATTCGTGTATTTTCGCGTGTTCCGAGTAATTACTCTAAATTCCCAGTCATAATTAAAGATTCACGGTGTATTTATGAAGACGCGTAGTATGCGATTTTTAAACTCATTTGGATAATCTTATACTCCGTTACAGGACGCCTGCGGGGCTTTTACATAAGTGGACAAAGGCGGAATGGATCGATCGGTTGATTTAAAAAGAAACAGAAAAAGAAAATTCTATCTTCCGACTGAATACTGTAGAGCGTTGAAAACCGTGATCGATTATTCGTATCGATAGTTTCGAATGATATCGTTACGTTGCAACGGGATAATAACGCGGCTAATGTATAATTAAGTTTCACGAACAGGAGATAAAGACATCTACTTGTTGTAACAAGCATCAAATTAATCCTTAGAGAAAGTAGCTTCGCGTTGCGGCATGCAACATTTTCTAGATGACTACTTGGTGAACATTCACATGGAATATAATCATTATGTGTCCTGATATGTAGATGATTTAGGGTTTGGTTCTATATACTTATGTAAGGAAAGGCGAAAAAAGCGGTGTAGTATGTTGCCAAGACTGTAATTTGTCGCTGTTACGTCAGAAATTGTAGTTCGGTAAAGTATTCTTTGGTAGTAAAAGTGAAAACGTTAGACAAATGCTGGCAACTGACGTACGTCGTACGTTTCATTGCATAGCCCCTGCGTGTATGCAACCGGCTCGGTTCAGGAGTTGTGCGTGACACGTTGCATGGTTACAGGGGCCCGCGTCTAGTATTAAGATTATTGCCCTGTATTATCGATACGATAGATTACCTATCTTCGAATGAACGATACAACCAGTATCGCTACCTTTTTAAATCTGTACAGTAAGTAGCAAAAGCAGATAGTGTTAAATTATCTGCTAACCTGTAGTCAATTACGTGACGTATTACGTAAAATATTTTACGTTAAATAATTCGTTCTTTATTCGATGTTATGAAAATTTTTAACGAAAAGTGTCTAAAATTTTCGATTGATTGGTATTTTCTAAACACGATTTTTTCAGGTGCTGGGAAGGCAACAGTATATTGTACGACCGATGGTAATGGACGAAAGCCGTACGCCTGGAACCGGTAGCGACAATCCGGCGGTTGCCGGAAGTAGCGGAGTCATCAGCGAAGCAGCGTTGGCACATGCTCCAGCGTTAACTGAAAGAACAGTTCGAGAACACGGGATTTCTCTGGAACAAGCTATCGAACAGGTAATTCTGCTTTTATCGGGAAGATTTAAAAATGTTTCCAGTTCTTTAAAATACGGGAGTCAAACGTGTACAATTCCACTTTGTATGTGTAGTTGATAAACAATAAAAGAGACATCGAATATGAATGTAACTTTTTCCAAATTTATATGAGCCAAAACGTTCGAAAAAAAAGTTTCATTTTTAATGAAAGTTCGAAGCATGGTGGTCTTCCATGTCGTGCGTGACGTCCGGTTCCGCACCACGTTTCGTCGTAGACGGCCAGGCGCCGATGAGACAATGCTTGCATCCAGAGGCTTGCAACAAAGACATCGACCTGCCGGAACATTATACCCTTTTTCACGACCTTCGCAAGGAATTCGTTGCTTGTTACTCAACCCATGGAGAACTCTCGACGTTTGGAGTGCAGGAGATGCTGGAATGTATCCTTTTCTAAATATTATTGATATTGCACAATTTTTACGGCATTCGTTATCTCTACAACTCAATAAGTGCACGGTAAAGCGTCATAGTATTTCTGTTCAATGTGCCCGGCAAGAAACAGATGTAGGATCGTTAAAAGTGTCATATTACTCCTTCTTCCGAGGAGTCAGGGTACAGAAAGATTCCGATAATTTTTTTACTATAAAAAAGTTACTAAAAAAAAATTTGAAAAGGCATATAAATAATTAAATACCATGAACATTTCGGTGAATAATTACGTAGTCAGGATTTCGATACTCGTTTGGTCGTCACGCGCGCGACGTTCCCCGTTCAAAGTTGAAAGTTTAGTTTTCGATACCGTATGATTGCCTTAAGGCGACGACTATGGTCGAAACGAGAATTCCAAGGCGTGCGGCCGTTAGGCGGCGCGACAGAAGTCGAATCCAACATATTCGACGAACCCGACGACTAGCCGCTGCAAAGTCAGTCTGCAAGCGAGTGGAGGATGTGCGTATCGTGTAATTGCGCTCTTGAGGGGCCCATATATATATTCGAACACAACAAAACATAAATCACATTATCGATTGTGCTGTTTTCAGTTTAATTTTCACGGACCAGTCTTTTCTGCAACGTGTGAAAGTGGTTAATAATTTGTTTCTTTACACGACGTGTGTTGCAAGACGAGAAACTTTCTTGATCTCACAGTTTTCTTAAACACAAATTGTAATCTAAACTCGAGGTATGTTTTCCTTATTCTTGGCATATGCATGCGTTGATATGTCTATTTGTGGACCTGTTTGATTTCGTTTCGTTGCACGCTACTTTTTATTTAGTTGAGGATGTATTTTGAAAAGAGGTTTCTTGTTTACGTAGAACAGGTATTCGATATTATGAAACTTATTATATATGTAAATGGAAAAACATTTCCTGACCAATTTCTGACGCGTATGAATGTTTTTATACCTTTTTCGTATGGCGATATTACCAATCATGCATATGTATACACGTAATACGTCTCATTATATATTTTCCTTTCCTTAGGAATGATGGAAAAAAATTTCAGTTTCGCGTTTATGTATACGTACATTGGTTTAGTTTTTTTTTTTCTTCCCAGGTATCCTCTTGCATTTGCAAGAACGGTGAAGAAATCGTGTACGTATCTGTAGGTGAGATTTACTTTAAAAGGGGAAATTTTTTTTACCTGCCGTGAATCTAATCCAACCTCGATATTAAGCTCGAGCTAAGACTACGGTATTATAATCGTTCTACTTTATACCGGCCGTGTGTTGTGTGCACGGTGTGCCTGTCGTTAATAAAACAAAACCACCTGTGGCTCGCGGGATACAATATACACAAGTATCGATCGGTGCCAGTGTCGTGTCAAGATCGATCAACGTTCTGATTTAACCTTATTTGAGTCGTTAATTTTTTGAAACGTTTAAATTGAAAATAAGCACATGATTGAATGGTCCGGAAGCACCAAGTATTATCTAAATGTTTTGGGTCGCTATAACCTTTTATTCCTTATTTATGAAACATTTATGACACTCATAGAAGTCTTTGAACTTCGTAGACAAGCTATAAATAATATTGATTTTTACTGTAAAACATCTTATCAAAATTATCGCGTTGGTTAAACACCTGCATTTATCTTCAATTTTTTAAACATAAGATGAAAAGCGGTAGAAAACAAACGAAATCGAAATGTACTACTAGTATCAATCGAATGACTTAAGAAAGTCCCACCAAGTAACCAACGCAGTCTTATCATGCGCGGAACACGGATTAAAGGTCATGTTGGTGGAGATATTGGTAACAGCCTGACGACTAAACGAGATATATGGATAATTACGCACGTAACAAGTTCGTTCGATTTCTCAGTATTTTAGCTACTCATCTTCTGTCCACGACTACGACTCTTCCATCTTGATATTCTTTTTCATGAACTTACAAAATTGTTATTTCCATAAAAAGCCTACATCTTATCGCTGGTATATTGTATTTTTGTCTAATCTGAATCGTCTTGAAAATGCAGACCAGAATTAAACGAAGACTTGTGGTTAAATTATAATTTTCACGGGCGATAATGGGTCCGATAATGTTTGGACTCGCTCGATATCTTAATACACCTTGCGCGCTTACGTAAAGGTCTAATGATTATTGAGCTAGACATTTCGTGTTACGGTATCGATGCACGAATTATTATAACTTCATATATACATAGAGATATGTCCTTGACTGGCGAAATATCAGATTTTGGTCTACCATCGGACACCGAGAATGATTATCATGTGAAGGAGATACAAGACATGATCTGCGTGATACAGAGAATGATTAAGGATGGTAAGTGGTCGAATAGCAAATCCTTATGGATTTTTCGAGCTTTGAGTGCAGCGTAAACCTTGTAACGAAAAAGAAAGAAGCGATATCTAATCTATTTTTATTACCGATAGCGACACTTTTCCCTTTTTTTTTTCTAACGAGCCAGTCTATCGGACGAAACGAAAAAACTGGTCTTTAATTATTTCTCGACGAAGATTAAGGTTCACGAGTACGATACATATTCCTATCTTCGGCAGGCTGTAGCACACAGTCAAACGTATAAAGGTTTTGTACTGTTCGCAATCAATGAACGTAGTTTACCTACTTGTGATCACTTCGATTTTCGATTACACACCGAAATTGAATGTGTGCGTACAGATACGGAATTCGAAATTCATCCAATCCTGTTCTTGAAGATCGTTTTCGACAGGCACGTGGCTAGACTGTATGAGTCTTTCCTTTTTTTTATCCATAACAAACAAGGCCACGAATTGTTCAAGGCGATATTTTTCGAAGAACCACGAGTTCTTTTCATAATATGTCATACCGCGTACAAAAAAATATTCCGTGTATCTCGACATTAAGGAAAGCTCGGTTATTTTTCAGTGACGATTACAATTATGGAGAAATATGCAGTGGCATACAAATTGATATGAATTTGGAATTCTATTAGGTTCGGAATAACCTTAACGCTCTTTCATCGTGGTAATATTTTCAATTTAACAACTGTCGTTGAATGCATAAAAACTTTAGTAAAAGAAAAAGAAAACATGGTGTTTAACTTTCAAATATTTCCGTTGGAAATTTTTCCATTTCAAACTTTACCTAGCCACGCTTTACCGTTGCACATAAACGAAGAAAGGCGAGCAACAGCAAATGCGAAGGGGACAAAAAGAGAAAATAAAAGGACGGAATGAAAAAAGAGACAGAGTGGTGTACATCTTAGGTCTGTGCACGGGTCCCTTATGTGTGTTCATGGTTTATGAGTACGGGTCAAGCTGTGTAATGCTATAAGCAGTGACGGCCATAATATACTTCTTATCACAGCTGTGCTCAACTTGGAATAATTTTAATTTTCAATCTCGTACGCGCGCGCGTGTCATTGTAACAAGTGTATCAGTAGCGTACAACAATAAGCAAGAAATGTTTTAAAACAAGTTTCTCACGTTTGTTATTGAAAATGGATTCGTATAGTTTGACGTATCTTGTAATTTTTTGGGAAAACTTTATACTTACCATGTCGTTCGTATAATCATATTTGAATAATATTTTGTTCCTTTATGGCGTTACAATTTCAACGAATGTTTCAGGGGGGAATTGAAATAATAACGAAAGAAAAGTTTCAGTTCACAAGGCATGAAAATTCTTTGAAAGGTGTGCTGACACACGTTGCACCGAGTAGGCAAATCGAAACGAAGCATTTTGCTCGGGTATAAGAAATCGGAGACAAACTCGTTGGTGTATGATTACAAAGGAAATGCGTATGCGACACAATATGGGGACACCGGAAAGATGGTTATACTTTTCGCGCGTGAATTGATTTTGGAATGTTTCCATTGATAACTTATTTTACGTTGTACGAAAATTTATTTTACCGAGGAATTGTGAAGGATTCAAATCATCACGAGTTATTTTGTTATCGTTTTTTTGGATCGATCTGAGTCATTGGTTATAATCAAGGCACAGGCGACATCGACCCCGAAGATTAAACGCGGTTTTATCCTGTTTTCTATCGTTAGAAGTGCTATCGCAATGCTTTCAGTTCTTTACTTCAATATATATATTTGGATTTCCATTTACAGTTTGTATTATTTTTATTACAGGTCATATCTTCCAAACTCCTGAAGTAGTTAATATTGTTTTAGAACCTGGTATATGGTAAGTTATCATTTAATTATATTTTGTTTTGTGATACTTTCTAGAATTTATTTTAATAATCTTATGATGTTCTTTCTTAGCTCAAAAGATGAAGAAGTTGACAATGGCTGTGTTGTAAGAGCTAGAGGTCTTCCTTGGCAATCATCTGACCAGGACATAGCAAAATTTTTTCGTGGCCTAAATGTTGCCAAGTAAGTGAAATTTGTGAATTTTGAAGTAATAGTTAAAAATTGTACAAAACTCATTGTAATAACTGTTATGGTATTTGTACACAAGCCACTTGGATCCATGTAGAAAAGGTAAAGATTTACATCTAATCTAAAAGCAGGTTTATTTAGCTAATTGTATTATCAGTTCTTTCTAATAAACAAGCAAAATTATTGAAATAGTAGTGTTTACTTTATAAGAGGTAGTAAACAACATTTTAAAACATTTTCTTGCTTATTTATGTCATGTTTGTGCAATGATAAGTATTATCTAGGGTCATGAATCTTATATGCTATAAAAATATACCAATGATCCCCAGGATCAGAAGAGTAGTCATGTGTATTATTGCAATTCTTGTCACTTATTTGATATATAATAACCTACAACCGTGTAAGCAGTACATTGACTTTTATTACAAAAATATTATTCTTTCATAGGGGTGGTGTAGCTCTGTGTTTAAGTCCTATGGGAAGACGTAACGGAGAAGCATTAGTACGGTTTGTTAATAAAGAACACAGAGACATGGCATTAAAGAGACATAAACATCATATGGGAGGAAGGTATATAGAAGTGTACAAGGCATCTGGAGAGGATTTTGTAGGTGTTGCTGGAGGAACCAGTGGTGAAGCTCATGCATTTTTATCAAGGGGAGCTCAAGTCATTGTTAGAATGAGAGGCTTGCCATATGACTGTGTTGCTAAACAAGTGGTGTGTATCAAAGAAAATAAAAAAGAAAGTGTTCTTTTCCATGTGTATCATTGTGATGTTTGTCCTCATTTTGCATATACATTACTTTTTACAGTTGGACTTCTTTTTGTCAGGGCAAAAGCCTTGCCATGTATTAGACGGTGAAGATGGGGTTTTATTTGTGAAAAAGCCAGATGGTAGGGCGACTGGAGACGCGTTTGTCCTTTTTGCAAAAGAAGAGGATGCTGTGAAGGCTTTAAGTAAACACAGAGATTGCATTGGAAGCCGATACATTGAACTTTTTCGAAGTACGATCGCTGAGGTGCAACAGGTGTGTACATGCGCACGGTGATGCGGGTGGAAAAGTAGCGTAAGAACGAATGGAGTAAAAATAGATGTTACGCACATACATATTGATTTTCTGACTTGCAGGTCTTGAATAGGGCAATTGACCCGAAACAAGTCGTACTTCCAACACCACCCATTCCACAACTCCCTCCGATACTTCCACAACACATTATCACCTCCGGTACGCGTAAAGATTGCGTTAGATTACGTGGACTTCCGTACGAAGCTCTAGTAGAACACATTCTCGAGTTCATGGGTGAGCATTCCAAGAACATCGTCTACCAGGGTGTTCATATGGTTTACAACGCTCAAGTATGTACACGTGTTATCGCTGTGTCATAATCACGTTCGATATTTTGCAAATCATTAACCAATATGCATTAACCTTTGCCTGTTCAGGGTCAACCTTCTGGCGAAGCATTTATTCAAATGGACAGCGAAAGTTCAGCATACGCATGCGCGTCACAACGACATCATCGGTACATGATATACGGCAAAAAGCAACGGTACATCGAAGTGTTCCAGTGCAGTGGGGACGATATGAATCTGGTATTGACAGGTGCAGTAACTCCACCGTCAACCAAGGCTCTACTATCACCCGGTACGTTGACCACACAATCTCCCGCAACTTTGACACATCCGCCTCCGCCGACACCGGTACCGGTACCGACGGCGCAACCTCCCCTTTGGGATATTCACGCGTTAGTACAGGCTCAAGCCCAAGCACAGGCGCAGGCTCAAGCTCAAGCTCAAGCTCAGGCTCAAGCGCAGGCAATACGAAATCAAGATTTTTGGTTAATGGCTCTAGCCTCGAATCCACCACCTACCTCTACCACTCCTGCTTCCCCAACTTCTTCAGCTACAACTAAGACGCTCGCTCTACCTGGACCGAATCCTCAACATCAGATTCCCGCCTATGCAATGGCACCTCCAGCTGCAGCTGCAGCCGCTGCGGCTGCTGCAGCGCTTCACGCTCAACCACCTGCGCCGGCGCCTTTCTTGCTCTTCAACGTTCCCTCTCGAATCCCAATTTTACGGGCACCTACACCACACGGCCTGTTGACGCCTCTCGTTCAGGCTACTCCTCTCAATCCGGCCGCTATAATGGGATTAAAGAGAACTTGGGAAAGCGCTTTCCCACCCGACACATCGAATACCGTCGCGAAACGTGCCACATGGCACACACCAGCGACTGCATTTCACGCGCAAGCTCCGACCGCGGCACCAGGCTTGCCTTATCCTGCTCAATTTTATCCTCAGATTTGATAGGTTGAATCACCAGTGTTGATCACAGTGGTTCTACACATTGGACTGTATGGACGACGTGTCTTCTTTTTAATGCGTGTATCTCTTTTCTATGTACTTTTCCAAGCCGTGCTGGTTAAACATTTGAATTGACCAAACGGTATGTCAAATATTGACCAACGATTATAATCGTTCCTTCGTATCTTTTTCGTGGTCTTTGCAACGGGAGGTTGTGATTTTTAAAGACATTTATTTCACGTGCGAGGCACGGATTTACATATACATTCTAGCCTTGCATTG